GTAGAAGAGGGAGTGAGAAAGATCTCTTATAGAGGACCCCATCAACAAGTGTATATCGAGATGCTTTCTTCCTCAACCTCATTTCCTCTTTCTTATCTTCAAGTACTATCCCATCTCATAAAAAGGAGGTGATTGAGTCAGTCCAGCTCGGTGTGTCCGAGTCTGTGCTGATCTCCATCATTCTTGGCTTTATGAAGCTTGGTTCATCTAAGATTTCAACAAAAACTGATCTGGAGCTTAAAGAGCTGTCAGAGGCAAATTTAGAGAGTGAATCTGCTTGTTCATTCTCAGTTCGGGGAATTTTGTTCAAACAGAATTTCTGAAATTTGCACTTCAGCTCGGCCACCAAGGCTACATATTTCATCATCACAGGATCAATGACTTCGCAGATTGAGTTGACTTGATTAACTACAAGTTGGGAGTCATTGTACACTTGGATCGCCCTGACTTTCAACTCTAATGCTAGTTGCAGACCAAGTAGTAAAGCCTCATACTCAGCCATATTGTTTATTGCATCAAAGTTAAATTTCAGAGCATGTTCGCTTCGGTATCCATCTGGGCCAATTAAGAGAGCATCAGCTCCTGAACCCTTGCTACTAGATGCTCCAGCAACATATAAGGTCTAGTCACTAGTCTCGGGATTGGGGGTTAAATGACATGGAGTGCATTCTACGATGAAATCTGCCAGTGCTTGAGCTCGGATTGCCGATCTCTACTGGAATGTTATCTCGAATTCCCCTAGTTCAACTGCCCATTTAATTAATCTTCCGGAGCACTCCGACTTTTGCAGAATCTATCGAAGAGGTTGGCCTGTAAAGACGATGATTGGATGTGACTGGAAATATAGCCTCAGCTTCCTGGCCAAAGTGACAACTGCTAATGCTGCTATTTCAGCAATAGGATACCTCAGTTCTGCACCATGCAGTACGCTACTAATGTAATAGATTGGCTTTTGTTGTTTGGCTTCCTCTCTCACCAGAACCGAACTAATAGCTTCGTCTGAAATTCCCAGATACAAATAGAGAACCTCTCCATCTATAGCCTTAGTCAGTAGAGGTGGTGAGCTAAGATAAGACTTCAGCTCCTCGAATGCGGCTTGGCATTCTTGATTCCATTCAAACTTTTTCTGTTTGCTTGATTCGTCCTTCTGAGCGGCTGACCTCATAATCTTGAAAAATGGCAAGCACTTATCTGCTGACTTCGATATGAACCTATGAAGGGCTGCCACCCTTTCAGTTAGCCTCTGTATATCTTTCATTGACTTCGACGGTTCCATCTCGGCAATTGCTCAGATCTTTTCTGGATTGACCTCAATTTCTCTTCGGGAAACCATGAAGCCTAGAAATTTTCCAGATTCCACGCTGAAGATGCATTTGGCTAGGTTTAACTGCATTCTATTCTTTCTAAGGTTGTTGAAAGTTTCGTCAAGATCAGTTAGATGGTCTTCTGCTTTCAGGCTCTTTACCACAATGTCATCGACATAAACTTCCAGATTCCTGCCGATCTGAGCTCGGAAGACGATAGTCACCATTTTCTGATAAGTAGCAATTGCGTTCTTTAAGCCAAATGGCATCATGACATAGTAATAGATTTCATCACCAACATAGAACGAGGTTTTTTCTTCGTCTTCTGGAGCCATCGGCACCTGGTGATACCCCGAATATGCATCCGAGAGACTTAATCTCTCATTTCCTAAAGCCGCTTCAACCAGTGTGTCAATGATTGGCATCGAAAAGCAGTCCTTAGGGCAAGCTTGATTGAGGTTTGTATAGTCGATGCACATTCACCATTTACCATTTGCCTTTTTTACCAGTACTAGGTTAGCCACCCATTCGCAATAGTCAACTTTTCTAACGAAACCAGCTTGTAGAAGCTTCTCTACCTCTTCCTTTATGGCCTTAAGCCTCTCCCCCCCGAAGAGACGTCACTTTTGGGCTACTGGTTTCTTCAATGGATTGGTGCTGAGCTTATGTTGAGATACCGAAGTTGGAATTCCTAGCATGTCTGCCGAAGTCCAAGCGAAGACATCATTGTTAGCTCGGAGAAAAACTATTAGCTCTGCTCTTTCTTCTGGGTTCAATCGAGTTCCAATTTGCGTCTTTCGGCTTGGATCTCTGTCGTCAATGTGCACCTCCTCAACATCCTCGACTGGAGAAGCTCTGGTTTCATCTTCAAGTCGGTTATCTACTATCTCAACTCTCATGACTTGCTGATTATCAGGAATCCGTTGGGGAATATCCTCCAGTGTCTGTTCTTTGTCTTTGTTAGGTCTTGTGACGGAGGTGATATAGCAATGTCTAGCCACCTTCTGGTTGCCTTGTAGTGTTGCTATCCCCATAGGAGTTGGGAACTTCATGCAGAGGTGAGATTGGGAAACCACAGCTTGGATTTCAGTCAGCGTGGGTTGGCCAATAACAACATTAAAAGAGGACGCCATCTTGACAACTAGAAACCGAATTGAAGGGGTGACATATGTTCGGCCACTCCCAAAAGCAACATGGAGGGTAAGAATTCCTTCTACCTGAACTGGTTGGTTGTTGAATCCATAGATGGGACCATCGTATCGTTGCAACAAAGCTAAATCCAGTCCGAGACTCTCGAAACAGTGGAAGTACATGTTGTCTGGTGCACTCCCGGTGTCAACAAGGACACGTTGTACCTCACAGTTATTAATCATGACAGAAGTGACTGGAGGATCATTGTGGGGTATAACAACTGTGTCGAAATCAGCAGATGTGAAAGTAATGGGTTGATTCTTCCGGTCAGCATCGTCAAATTTCCATTTCTGAGCTTGGTTTTGATATTTGACCTCTCTGACGTACAACTTTCGCTGTTTAGAGCTCAGTCTTCCTACTTCCAGGCCTCCCGTAATCATATGTATAATTCTGGCTGGTGGTAGGAGTGGAGGTGGGGCTTACTGATATCCCACGCCTTGTCTGTTTCCTGCAGTACGAGATCCCTATGGCTGTGTCCCCTGTTTTCTAATAAACTTCGATTGCTCGGTTTGTTGGACATATTCATTCAGCATGCCCTTTTGAGCTAGATTTTCCAGTTCGGACCTCAGACTATTGCACTACTCTGTTGTATGACCATGATCTTGATGAAAATCACAGTACCTGGTATGGTCACGTGTAGCAGTGGAGCTTCTCGTTGTTCCAGGTCGTCTCAAATCCATCTTATTCTTGATCTGCATGAATATCTACGACTTTGGCTTATTAAAAGGAGTCTAAGTAATTGGAGGTTTACCTGTAGATTGTTGTGGAGGTGCTGAGTTCGGCCTTCCGAATCTCGGTGTGGAGGTCGACATCGGACCTCGATTCTGTACTGTTTTCATCCGTTTCCTGCTTTGATTCTCATCCTCCAATTTGGGTTTTGGTTTTGACAGGGAGCCGGCTTCTGCGACAAGGCATATTCCTCAGCAGTTATAAATTTAAGAGACCTATCATTCATCTCATTAAAGGTTGTGGCAGGATGCTTGATCAAACTATCTTTCAATCTCTCATGGTGAAGACCTTAGATCACAACTGCAATTCCCACAACCTGGTTGAAGGAGCTAACCTCCAGTACGGCATCATTGAATCTGCTCATATAATTCTTCAGAGATTCTCCGTCCCTCTGTTTAACTCCCATCAGCTCAGAAGTAGTTTTCCTGATCAACCTTTTACTGGAAAACTTTGTGGCAAAAGCAGATGCCATTTCTGTATAAGAGCTGATTGACCTCGGAGGTAGACTGTAATATAAGGTTCGAGCATTACCTCGGAGAGTAAAGGGAAAGATTTTGCACATCAACGCATCAGAGGTGTTCTGAGCTTGCATACAAGAATAGAAAGCATGTAGGTGATCGTCGGGATCCTTTGTCCCATCATAAGTCTTAAGTTGAGGTATTTTAGAGCCAGCGGGATAGGGTTCTAGTGTGATGTTGGTGTTCAGAGGATGAGGTATGGAGTCGGCAGTATGGTGTGGAGGTGGGGCACCTCGCTGTTTAGTGACTAGTCTTTCTAAACTATCCAGACGTCGAGTGACATCATCAGGGAGAGGTTGTTGAGTTGGGGCTATTTGAGATTGGCCCTGAGACTCACTGAGAGCTGGAGCATGCTAAACTGGTTGAGGGTCTTGTTGTGGAGCTGGGGGTTGTGGAGCAAGGTTGAGTAAATTGATGAGGGGATCACCAGGGTTATTCCGAGCTAAGAGCTGAGCCAATACTAACTGAAAGACACCAAACTGTTGTTGCATGGTAACAAGCTGAGTTGTAACTACATCTTGGTTAGCGGTGGAAGCTGAATTGTAAGGTTGGTTTTCATCTCCTCCTTCTGCATGGTCAACAGAAGGGAACATATTTGGGATCGGAGGTGGGAGGTGAGATGGAAGGTTATTGGGGACTTGACCTTGTCCAAAAGGCGGAGATGGATTTCTAGCTCGGACTGATCGAGTGTTAACCATTATGAGAGAGCAACAAGAAAGCTTTCAGTTCGGATTCCCACAGACGACGCCAAATGTAATTGCACCAAACCAGAGATCCTTCTTCAATTTGCATCTTCACTTCGGATAAACTTGCAAAGCCCCGAGGTGGGTCCTCGGGGTAGACACTACGATGCTTAAGTTAGCAATAATCCGGTCTATCTCTAGACTAATGAAAAAGGACCTTTAGGATGGTTTCAATTACCTTTTTGACGTGGCCCTTGGGGGGTATTTATAGGTTTTCGTGAGGTATCCATGTGGCTTGCTTAGTAGGATGATCGGAGTGTGACGTGTCCCTTAAAGAGATAAATTCGAGACCAGTGACAAATTCGGGACCAGGGAATTATGTGATAAATCAGGTGTGGGGATGCCCACTGTATTTATCGTGCAGCCGTTTGATCAAAATTGCTAGATTTAACTTCACTTCGGCTATTAAGGAATTGTTACAGTACGTTCGAGGTTAAGGATCTCAGACCTATCCTTACAAATTTCAAATTGTTATCTCATTAAATCTAAATTCAATCTTTAATAATAGTTATCTTTTTTTTTTTTTTTTATGTTTATTCTCATTATTAAAATTTCCTCCCACAATTATTGTTAGGATTATCTAGCCACAACATTACCCTTCCCTCTTTACATCTCACAACTATGGACCTAATTGACTCATCGAAGTTCTCCGCCATTCTCTATCATTGTCCAACCACCCAACGCTACTCTTATACAACCATCATACACACCCCTCTTTCCTTCTTTTCTTCCTCCATTCTTCCTTCTTGATCCAGACCTACCGACCTCTACTTTCCTCTGTGTTTGAACCCAAAATACCTTAAAAAAGAAAAAAGAAAAAAAAACTGTAGCCGCTCTCTTTGATGTCTGGCTACTAGTGAAAAAACCAAAAGTAATTTATACTCTGAAATAATTTTGCATTTTCAAACATATATAAATTGTTTCGTAAGTTAAAAGTACTAATTGAATAAAAATAAATCCAAATAATTCATTTCAACTTATTCTTCTGCTTTTTTAAATATATTTATCTTTTTTTACAACAAATATATCTTTTTTAATATTTAAATGTTGATAAATATAACAAAATGTAGTAAATATAAAAAGAATAATAAATAATTATTTTAAATTAAGAATAAATTCTCGTGTTTCGTATTATTGGAACTCTTATTTTTCTCTTAAGTAAATGCATTAAAATACATTTAAAAAGCAAAAGTGAAAAGTAAAATAAAAATAACAAAAATTATATACAATTAAATGTTTATGGACTTAATTCAAAGGCTTTAAAATGAAAAGTACAATTATATGTTCATTGTCTAAATTTAAAATCAATTTCCTTGCAAAACTATTACTCAACTAAAATGATATTTGCATAATTTTTTTTCTAAGGAAGAGAGCTCCATTTGCTCAAAACTTAGAGCTTTAGAGACAAAAAAAAAAAAAAAAAAA